GCTCAGACAGAGCTGTGGTCACCTGCAGATCTGCCCCCAGGGCTGACTCTCCCTGTGGGAGGAGATTAGGGTAACTGAGACCCAGACACAGTATTAAGGGGATTAAATAAGGTGGTGTCCCCAAGGTAGAGGCCAGCAGCTGCAGGCTCTGCAGCAAGTACATCTTGGTGGGCGATCATGCTAGACCTGAAGCGCGGTACAAGTCACGACCCAGTCCTGTTCTGCTCTCTTCATTTATTTATTTTTTTGACTTTTTTCTTTTCTGTGCTGTCTTTATTTATTTTTTTTAATTTTTTATTTTCTCTTTCTTTCTAATTTATTTTTATTCATTTTACATATCAGCCACAGTTCCCCCTTGTTCCCCTTCTCCCACTCCCCCACCTCCCCCCAATCCTTTATACGGTCATTTCTGCACATGTCACAAGCTTTGGAGGATAAGCCACAGAGGAAATCATCCCTGAAATAGTTTGTCAGGCATTTCACATTATCTCATTGACTCCTCAGTGTGCCTTTGTAGAACAGATGATCTTTTCCAACAGGGGAAGCCCATGAGAATAAGTCCCCCGTCTAGGAGTCAATACAGACTTTAAAAGCAGGCTTCTTCAGGGAGGCACTTCCTAATATCTTTAAGTAATGTTTTCCATATGAATGTATGCATGAGACATGACCTCACACACATCTACGCATGAGGGTAAGGAATGCAAAGGGACTTCACACAAACTGTTTATCCCTAATTATAATCATTGCACAGTGTGAGGCTCTAAGCTGATTGGTCACCAGGGAAAGATGACCCTAGTCGCTCTGGCTTAGTGATCCCAGGCCTGGTGCTGCCCTTTCTGAAGTCACCAGTCTTTTCTGTCTCTCTCCCCAGCACCACTGAGTTCCCTTGTCTATTATGACTCATCGTTAGTGGTTTTGGTGGAGATGCCCAGGTACCACTCTTGTCTACCTGAGAAACACCAAGAAGGGTGAAAGTCACAAGTCTCCATGACTGTCAGCCCCAAATGTGCTTCTGATCACTGTCTGGGGACTAAGTAGTCACAATGCAGACTTTCTGCAAGAAAAGCAGATGAAACTCATTTTATGGAGTAACATGTGTTAGGACTGTGTGCTGGAAACAGAATCAGTGTCATTCTCAAAATACTACTTGTAATAATCTCTCCTGTCCCTTTAAAATACAAGCCCCGCCTACTCCTTCCCCTGTCTGCAGAGGCAGGCAGATCTTTCTTCCTGCTTGCAGACGGAATTTTTCCCTGTCCATCTCTCTCCCAATGAGGTAGCTGCTGTTGTGTCTCCTCTCCTCTTTCCTCTCTCTCTCTCTCTCTCTCTCTCTCTTTCTGTTTCTTTCCTCATCCCCCTTCCCCCACCCTCTCCCCTTCCCTTCCATAACCTACTAAATAAATACCTAACCTCACTTTGCATGGTGTGCCTACTTGTCTTGGTCCCCACTCACCACATGGCTCCCTGCCTAGGACCCAGCTGCCTTCGTGGCCCAATGTGGTCTCATGGTCTGCAGCCCATTGTTGCCACTTGGGTACCTGCAGTGCTCCTACCACTGTGCCCCTTGGGGAATGTACAGCATTTTACTTAAATCATAGCATTGGTGCCTGAGACTCAGGAGGCTCTCTTACCCCTCTCCTGGGGTTGGGATCCAGAACTGGGAATTTATCCATAACAACCACACATTCCATTTGCCTGAATGCCAACATCTATGCATACCAGCAGATTTGGTGGTGAGATTTTCCCTTCCAGCCCCCAATCACAGCCATCACTGCTATAGTTGAACCCTTCACTGCTTTCCATAGCTAAAAAACGTGACCGGACAATCCAAGGTCAGTCCTCCCATGCTAGCACTGCACACACTGTGCAGTGCATTTGACTGGGGGCCCAGGGGCCCTCAAATTTTTATTTCCTTTCTTTTTCTTTTCTTGTTTTTTTTTTTTTGGACCACTCATCAGTGGTCCCTACCATGAGAGACCACTCAGAGTGGCCTCTGGCCTCTCTAGCTTCCAAGTCACCCAGACTGGAGCCAGTCAGGCTTTAACTCCCTGCCTACAGAAAAGAGACATCCTTCTATGTCAGGAGCCAATTTCCTCCTAAATTCATTACAGGAACCATCACCCTGGGGAGTCTGCAGAGAACCCCACACCCTTAATTGTGTTAGGAATAGTTCTATTGACAGAGCCTACCCCACACCAAATTGGCTGTTAATGAGAGCTATCTGTTAGCAGAACCCACCCCACATTCCAAACTATCTAGGGATCTAGGTGTGTCAACTCGCGACTTCCTGGCCTACAGTGACCTGACCGAAGACAACCTCCTGCCTACGTGACCAACTCGGACCATGTGACCAATGTGAACCACGCGGCAAGAGCCCAGGCCCCTTTGCCCACCCCCCAACTCTTTACCCTATAAAAGTTGTACCCCGGCTCTAATAAACGGAGGCTTTGACAAGAATTCTTGCTTAGCCTCATTCCGCTTTCCTAGCCCATGTCTTCCAGGTAGTGCCTCTCCGTGACCCTGGAATAACTGACTGCCAGGTGGGTTACTAACCCTAGACTGAGTAGCCCACCCCAAGGCAATCAACACTTCTATAGACCCTGTGGTGTTTGCGGGTTTTCACGTTTTCAGCTATGGTACAAACCCTCACTCTGCCATTGTCCCGCCAGCTCCACTTTTCCTCAAACTGTCCCTGCCACTGCTACTGCTGCCAACAAGATTGGTCAGATCCATGAGGCAGCTGTTTTCAATTCTGCCTTTTGATCCCACAGTGGTTTGTGGCATGGTGACTTGGCAACAGGGCAGATCACACCTTTAGGTCTCTCTTCCATACAACATGTGACTGCTGCCATTTTGACTGAGGTCAGGTGACCATACCACCATCTTAACTGAGGTCAGGTGACTTCACCATCTTAACTGAGAGCCAGGTCAGGTGACCAAGTTCTGCCATCTTTACTGAGGTATTCCCTGCCAGATTCCCCAGTATTAACTCTGTTGCATGAGTGACCTTACTGCCATGTTAACTGAGGTCAAATGGCTTCACTGCCATCTTAAATGAGAGCCACTTCAGGTGACCAAGTTCTGTCATCTTTCCTGAGGTATTCCCTGCCTGGTTCCCTGGTGTTGACACTGTTACCTATGTATTTTGTGCAGTGGCATGCCTTTGGTAGGGCCCTCCAAGAGCATCCACTTTGCCCAATTCCTGTTCATTGTGTGTATGTGTACATACATGTAACTTAAATGCACCTATGTTTGCTGTAAAATGTTACAATTGTCTATTCATTGTAGCCCATTCCAGACTAAAAAGCAATAAGTCTCATGTTTTAAACTGGTATGTACTTTTAAGACTCTTACAAAAATACTTTATATTTAAACCAACCCCTTTTTACCTGTTAAGTTGAGAGCCACTACAGTCAAGCTCGGACCCAGCTCTCCAGGCAGATTCTATAACTTATCTATACCCAGTAAATAGCCCTCAACTGCTCAGAGATATGGGGAATATTGTATTTAAATATATAATTATTTTTTTAAAAAAAAAAACCTTCTCATAACAAAAAGAGACAGGTTGGCTCCTAGCAGCAGCACTCTATTTCCTCCAAAGAAGACAGAAGACAAATGGGCACACAACAACGTCTATCCACAATTCGCTGCAACTGCCAAGTGCTGACCACTGGACAAAACTGTCTACCTAAACTGAAGATCTCCAGACAGTGGACAGAATCACCGGAATTGACAGCCTAGATGCTCAGGTCAAGGTAGGCCTGTCTTCCCACAGATTTCTTAGCCCACAGGATCTTCTGGAGCCTGGCAGGCCCTGTGCTAAACAGTAAAAGGCAAATATGACCCTCAGCGACCATGGAGGACCCTGAGGAGCAGCTCTAGGTGTACAAGAAGGCTACTTTGTGGAGACCCAAACATGCAAGCTTATTCCACCTTGTCTAAGGGTCTAAAGATCAGAGAGTTCGAGTTTATCTTGCTCACTCAAGTTGTAGACACAAGTGTGGCCACAGACCCTGCCCTAGGGTGTGGTTACATGGTGTTTTGGATATTAAGATGGCCAATGGAAGAGAATCCTCTCCACCCTGACCAAAGGTCAGAGAATTCAAGCTTACTTCTGCTCCTTCTTTTGAAATAGGAGATTTGACCTAGGGAGTGGCTGCCTGCAGGATACTTGGTCTAGGGTGTTTTCACTGCCCCAAGCATCAATACTTTTCTCAAGAATTAATGATTTGATGTCTCAGTATTGGTGCAAATGACTATTCTGATCGTCCTTTGTATCATGTTAACCCAGTTTTTTTGCCTTCTTCCCCTCTTTTGTATTGGAGTATAAAAGTGTACAGAAAGTAAACGCAGGTGAACTTAGTGTGCAGGAGACAGAGTTGCCTTCCTGGTACTACCCTACATTTCTGTGTTTCTTTCTTATCTCTATTCCTCTTACCTAACTTCCTAATCCTCACGCCCCTACAGCGGAATGTACAAACCTGTTCTGGCTAGGATCCCGGCTGGAGTCTCCCAAAAGGGTGGCTCCCGACACTGCTTCAAACCTGCCAATTGGAAAGTGTTCATAAATAAATTCTTCCCATTATCCGGCACATTATCTCTTTAGCTGTGCCAGCTTTCTTTTCATACTCAGCTTATACAGCTCTAGCTGCAGGCTTTCAGGTGCAAACAAGAAAAACGCATGCGCCTGAGCTCTTTGCTGTTTCTCATTGTTCTCCTGCTGCCTGGAAATTGGCTGTATTACTGACATAGCTTGTAATTCTACTGAGTGGCTAGCACTGACTTGGAAGGATGATGTTGCCAAAAATAAACACAAGTTTAGCCAGATTTGAAAGGAGAGACTTTATTACTGCATTACTTTAGGGATAAGTCAGGACTTTGTACATACGTCTGAGACCCCAGACTATAGAGCATAACAGAGAGGAAGAGTGGCAGGCAGGGACGCTTCTGTTGTGCTTGTCCTCCTTTTCCACAACTTGTCTGAAGTCCTACAGCTCAGGTCAGCAACATCCGCCAGACTGCTGGCTACTGCCACTGCTGCCACCACAGAATCCACTGCTGCCCCCGCTGCTGCCACAGCAGCCACCGCTGCCACCACAGCATCCACTGCTGCCCCCGCTGCTGCCACAGCAGCCACTGCTGCCACCACTGCTACAGCATCCAGAGCTCTGACGATGGCGACGGAGAGATCTGCGGGGCCTGTGGTGGCTCAGGCAACAGCCACCACCACCAGAGCTGCAGCAGCCTCCGGAGCTTGAACCACAGCAGCCCCCGGAACTGGAACCACAGCAGCCCCCAGAACCCAGACTACAGCAGGAAGAGACAGGAGGACACTTTGGGGGGCATTTTGGAGGGCACTTTGGGGTCTGGCACTTGGGAGGGCACTTGGGGGTGCACTTGGGAGGGGGCTGGCACTGCTGCTGGCTCTGCTGGCAGGACATCTTGACTGGTGAGTGCTTGGGAGCTGTGGGAGAGTTACACAAAAAATCAGACCCAAGACCCTGGGGCTACCCTGCACCCTTAGTATCCATGATACCCACAGCAACACTATTTCTAGTAGTTTCCATTGCAGTATGTTCACATGAGAGGTCACATGCTCACCACTGTTTCTTGGGAGCTTCAGAAACCCACACAAGCCAGGTAAAAACTGACATCTGGTATCAAGTCATGAATGACAAGCTAAGCATATGAGAAGGGTCTGAATCAAAGTCTCTGAAATTGCCATTTTAAAGCATCAATTCAGGGAAAATGGACTTCATTCCAAAGAGAACCTGATACTCTATTCTGTATCCAGCTCTTCCTTTGAATGCTGGGCCAGAGCTGTGTGAGTCCATCAATTCTCTAAAATTAAAGTTCTACTGTCTTCTGTGCCTCTCAGAGACCTACTCCACTAAAATGATACTTGTTCTCTGCAGAGCATGAAGTTAACTGGACCCTCCTATGGGGGTCAGCATACCCTTTCTCTACCCACCATTCCGGCCCATCCTAAGTCTTCTGTAAGAATGGCCCCCAGGCTCTGCAGTTCTGAGCCACCTCCCCTCCAGTTCTCCTCTCAGCTTCCCTCTGACACAGTCCCTGTGCTGTCTCCCAGCACACACTTACCAAGGTAGCACAGGATCTGTGGGCACCTCAGGAGGATTGGATGGAGCTGTCTGGCCCTCAGCCCTTTTATTCTGATCCTGGCCTCTGTCCTAGCCTGTGAGACAGTGGCTGGGCATGGATGGCTCTGCCTTCTAACACCCATGTGATCCTGTGACTGGTGATGACTAGTCATGTTCCTCACCAGTCTTCCTCCATGGGACTCAAGGATACTCAAGCATGGACTATGGTTTAGGCATAAGACGAGGAGGAAGTAGATTCCTGGCACCCTTAACTTCACATACCTGAAGGGCATGTGCCTTAGGAACTGTTCGCTTCTCAGCCTATCTCACATGCTCCCTGTTCCTAGCGTAACCTTCAGATAGCCTTTTAATCAAGTTCAATCTGAGTAGCACGTGTAAAACTACACTGTTCAAGCATGGATACTTACATCTCTATCTACCCTCTCTCAACCTGTGCAGCTACATCACACAGTTAGACATCTCCACAGGCAAAATCCTGCCTGGTGGATCTGAGTCAGCAAAGGGACAATGTGAGGTTTTGAAACCTATTTGGCCTGTAAAAAACGGTAACTTTTAAACATAGAAAAGAATTGCTTGTGTGTGTGTGGTGAAAGTCACTGTATTTTGAAAAGGTAGGAGGGAATAAATCAACCTTCTAAAGACAGTAGATGGTGGAAAACTCCTAGCAAACAACATATGTTTAACCTGCTGAGTAAAGCAGATGAGTCAGCTCTTTTAAGAAAGTAGCTGCATGTGGGTTGATATGGTCAAAATATGTCATATACATATATGAAAATTTTTTTATGGAAACCCCTCATTTTATAAGGTTAATGATTGTAGTAATAATTTAAAAATTCTAATATCTTCTAGAGAAAAATTGATTTCATTGTTCATTGGTTGATTGGTTGACCTTTCTGAGGGTCATATAGAGTAGAGGGAATGATGTCAGCATGGGTCTACATAGGTGACAAAGAGAAAAGTCTGTGGAATACTGTATGCATATTCTTCCATGTGAGGGACAATGGGTACCAGATGGGGCAGGGAATTTCAAGGGCAAGAATCCTTACTAATTCACAGGATGTGTTTGAGCTGTGTCTTCTTAGGCCCATGTGTTCTTTTCATAAACCTGGTCTTCATAAATATCTATTATTCTATAGTTTGCATATGGGTGAGGGCATTGAATGTCCCCATTTTGGGGACTTCAGTGGAAATAGTTGATGTTTAATTTAGAACAGTTGAAGAGAAAAAATCACACTATGAGGTTCTCTAGAAAATGATCAGACTCAGGGAGATGGCAAATAAAACCTGAATGAGTTAGGTGAGGAGGAGGTAAGACTTTAGAAATAATGTTCAAGTCATGTGGGTATGGTGAGTGATGTGGGAGGGTCTTCTGTCTATGTGTTACTTCCATTGGTTAATAAAGAAACTGCCTTGGTCTTTTGATAGGACAGAAGCTTAGATAGCTGGAGTAGACCAAACAGAATGCTGGGAGAAAGAAAACAGAGTCAGGCAGATGCCATGAATCTCCAGCCCGAGATGGATATAGGTTAGGATCTTTCCCCGTAAGCCACAGCCTCGTGGTGCTACACAGATTTAATGGAAATGGGTTAATCAAGATGTGAGAGTTAGCAATATGAGACTAGAACTAATGGGCTAGGCAGTGTTTAAATGAATATAGTTTCTGTGTTGTTATTTCTGGGGCTAAGCTAGCTGTGCGGAAGCCAGGTGGGACAAAAAGCGGGCCTGCTTGCCTCATCACTACAGTTGAGCACCAAGGAAATGTGAGAGAGATGATATCAGTGTCTCCCTATCTATGGATTTAGAGAGATACTTGGCTGCAATTTTTCTTGACACCATCTATTTATCCACTATCTTTTATCTATAACCTATCTATTCATCTACTATGCATATATCTGCCATCTCTCTATAATCTATCTATCTAATCTGTCATCTGTCTATAATCTATTACTTTCTATTTATCTATCACTTGTCAGTCACTGATCATCTAATATGTATGTATCTGCCATTTATGTACTTTTCCACCTATCATCGAACTAGTTAGTTACCTACTTATTTTCTATCTAAATTTTTCTCAGAGCCTTTAACATTTACAGGTGCTAACTCTCTATGTAAAAACGTTGGCACTAGATTATGTGATTTTCTTGGATTCTTTTCTAATATTAGATGCAAGAAAATACTTTCCTCTTTCCCTATATTATTCATGTTAATTAATTGTTTGGGTCTTGTTTGGGACTCCCTACAGTTTAAGGGGAAAGCCCAAAGTCCTATTGGATGCAGCCTTTTACTCAGACTGCATGTTAAGCACTTTCCATCTTCCTAAGGAATCTTTCAGCTAAATTACATTATTTTCTACACTTGGTACTAAATGTTTTCCCAGGCAACACAAACTGAGCACCTTGCCCTGTCATGTCTGTTCAACACTGTCCGTCTAAATTTTTTTCATGTACCATGTTATTTATATAAGATTATAATAAGTTATTTGGCAACCTTTCATGTGTTTTGTATTTATGTTCAGTAATAAACTAAATTATCAGTGATATTTCATCATATTAATAGCTACTCCTAATGACTCAAGTCACCCAATAATAACCCACACTCTGAGACTGCCAGAGTGAGGCATTGTGGTGATATCACCTGGAGATATGCCACTGTCACACCAACTGTGACATCTGTTCTCCTGGTTAGGTTGCTCCAAAAGTCTTAATAACAGCGAGAGGTCAGGAATTGATTCCTGAATTTTGGCAGGTCTGCTCAACTCAACTTCCAAAATCAAGGATGAGAAGGCTAAGATGCCATGTGGTCCACACCTTGGCCTGTGTGCAAGACAACACCCATTTCTTCAGATGACCTGCCTAAGTGGTGTGTGAGCACCCTATTTGCTTCAGCAAGACTGGAAGTTAATTTTTGACTGTGAACTCAGCTGGGTCTGGTCAAGGTAGTCATCATATTTAACCAACCTTTGGTTTTCTGAGGTTCCCTTTGTCATGGTTCTTTATTTTGGAGTCATATTTCTTCCTAAAAGATTATAAGAGCAATCTGCTTACGTATGTGTATCTCTTTTATGCCAGAATAGTACTTAATGTATCAATACCTTCATTTTTATAAGCCTTTTAAACAATTATTATATAAGGGTTTGCATATTAAACCAAAAGGGTAGGGAATTGGGGGAGGAGCTATACTAGACATCAGGAAGGCTGTACTCACTAAAATTTAACCAACACAAACTAGAGTGGCAAAGGAACGTGGTCTGGAATATAAAACCACTGTTCCATGCCAAACTGGCACACCAGTTCCTTTAACTAAGCCATAGGAGATCTGAGAGTTATCTAAGTTTATAAAAATGAGACTTAAGGTTGGTTCTTCAACAGACATAGACTGTTATAGAGAGAATCACAACTGATAGAAATGCAGATAACAGGTGACCATGTGATGCCTAGTTTTTGCACCCAAGGCTTAGGGGTAATAGTAGAATGCTTAATTGTTAATAATCATCCTGAACATTAATTAGCCTTCGGGATTTTTTTCACAGAACCGTTGATGTGGGAGTCCCTTCTGTGCGCTGAATAAAGAAACTGCCTTGGCCTGTTGATAGGACAGAATTTAGGTAGGTGGGCAAGACAGAACTGAATGCTGGGAGAAAGAAAGGTGGAGGCAGAGGGAAGCCATGGAGCTGTCAGAGACAGATGCTGGGAATTTTACCCAGTAAGCCACTGTCATGCGGCAATACAGAGATTAATAGAAATGGGTTAAATGAGTATGTAAGATTAGACAATAAGATGCTAGAGCTAATGGGCCAAACAATGATTTAATTAACACAGTTTCTGTGTGGTTATTTTGGGTGTAAACTGTTGATTGCCTTGGGGTGGGCTACTCAGTCTAGGGGTTGTAACCCATCCGGCAGTCAGTTATTCCAGGGTCCCGGAGAGGCACTACCTGTAAGATATGAGCTAGGAGACAGGAAGGAGGCTAAGCAGGGTTTCTTGTCAAAGCCTCCATTTCTTAGAGACAGGGTACAACTTTTATAGTGTAAAGAGTTGGGGGATGGGCACAGGGGCCTGGGCTCTTGCTGCGTGGTTCACGTTGGTCACATGGTCCTCATTGGTCACGTAGGCAGGAGGTTATCTTGGGTCAGGTCACTGTAGGCCAAGAAGTCACGAGTTGACACACCTAAATCTTTAGATAGTTTGGAATGTGGGATGGGTTCCGCTAACAGATAGCTCTCCATAAACAGCCATTTTGGGTGTGGGGTAGTCTCTGTCAATAGAACGATTCCTAACACAATTAAGGCTGTGGGGTTCTCTGCAGACTCCCCAGGGTGATGGTTCCTGTAATGATTTTAGGAGGAAATTGGCTCCTAACAGTAAGCTAGCTGGTTGGCCGGGACAAACAAGCAGGCCCTCCTCCTACAAACTATCACCAAGAACATGATAAATTAGTATTTTTTACTCATTGAATCTTGTCTTCATAGCCAACATTTTAAATAATACTCAGGATATAAAGCATACTTTAATCTTTTTTCTTCTCTAGTAGCTGTCAAAACAATGAGATCATGAAAAATAGGATTAGTATTATCCATTTCCAAGTGACAGTTTTCATGTAAGAAATAGAAACAAACAAATGTCAAAGAGAAATGCCTGTTTTGTGCTGATTCTGTTCATTAATTTCAAAAGTGTCTCATAACCCATTCTTTATTTTCTGAAATGAAAATATGATTCTATCATCCTCCCTTTTTCTCTCTCAAACCCTCCCCTCACACTTCTGCCTTGATCCATCTCAACTCCATAGCATCTGTTTTTAATCACTGTAATGTAGTTATATATGCATACATACTTCGCTGTATTGTATAACAGTATTCTTTGCTTATTTCATCTAAATCAACAATTCTCAGCCTTCCTAGCATTGCAGCTCTTTAATACAGTTGTGGTGACCCCAACCATAAAATTATTTTTGTTGCTACTTCATAACTGTAATTTTGCTACTGTTATGAATCATAATATAAAATTTGTAGAGCTAGAGGTTTACCCATGGAGTTGTGACACACATGTTGATAACTGCTGATCTAGACTGTCTACTTTGAATTTGAATCCTGAGATTCTGCCTTCTGTTTGATTCAAAGCCTATGCAAAAGTTGGTTGTGGGAAAACCCCAGAAAACCACAGTATCTCCTTAACTGAGAATTCGCACTTGGCATTGTCCCTTAGGAATATCTTTGGGATGTTTTGAAAATATGGAAATTAATTGCTAAGATGTAAATTGGAGAACAATAGAAGAAGCTCTGAGCAAAGGGGAATTGGTTTATTCCTTATAGAATAAGCATCCACCCTGCAGCTGAGAAAGGCTAAACTCATTCCAATGGTACCTCTGAATCATTTTTCCACAGACTCACATGAACCCACATCCATGATGCAACACCGAGTCTTGATTGGCAAAGATAATCCGAAAAATACTTGTGGTCAAATGATCAAGAAATGAGAGAAAATTGTTAGAGAAACTTTTATTACTTTGTAACAGAGAAGACAGGCCCTTTAACAGAGGAGGACATTTAGAACTTCCGAAAAGATTACAGCATCTCAGAGCTCAGGACACGGAGGGGATCAGGAGGCGAGATCTAAGTGTCAGGGCAGATCTCTGATCATGGCTTCTTTCTGCACAGCTTGACTAAAGTATTAAAGGCTCAGTTCAGCAGCAGCCCCCAGACTGCTGGCTACTGCCACCACTGCCACCACAGCAGCCACTGCTACCCCCGCTGCTACAGCAACCACTGCTGCCCCCGCTGCTGCCACAGCAGCCACTGCTGCCACCACTGCTACAGCATCCAGAGCTCTGACGATGGCGACGGAGAGATCTGCGGGGCCTGTGGTGGCTCAGGCAACAGCCACCACCACCAGAGCTGCAGCAGCCCCCGGAGCTTGAACCACAGCAGCCTCCGGAACTGGAACCACAGCAGGAAGAGACAGGAGGGCACTTAGGAGGACATTTTGGGGGGCATTTTGGGGTCTGGCACTTGGGAGGGCACTTGGGGGTGCACTTGGGAGGAGGCTGGCACTGCTGCTGGCTCTGCTGGCAGGACATCTCGGCTTGTGGATGCTGAGGAGCTGTGGGAGAATCACACACGTCAGACCCGGGATCCTGGGGCAGCTTATTCACCTCTAAACATCACTGTTATTCATGGAAACTCCAGATTTAGCAGTTTTATTTCTAACAAACCCCAAGGCCCTTGCAGTACTGGCCTGCAGAGGCAAGTTATCTTGCAACTTTTGAAAGGAGAAAAGAGGTGCTCATTCTTTATAAAAGCTCATTTTTAGGACTGGAGAGATGGCTCAGAGGCTAAGAGCACTGACTTCCCTTCCAGAGGTCCTGAGTTCAATTCCCAGCAACCACATGGTGGCTCACCACCATCTAGGATAATATTTGGTGCTCTCTTCTGGCCTGTAGGCACACATGCAGCCAGAACACTGTATACATAATAAATAAATAAATCTTTTAAAAAAAACAACTCATTTTCCTATAAGTCTTAAGCTGAGAGATTTCACAGTCTGAAGTCATATTCAGAATAATTTCCTCCTCTACCCAGATTTTCTTTCATGGACATCTTTTACAATGCCATTGAGCTTGATCTACTGCTGTTGTGTTCATATGGAGATTCTTATGGGATTTCCATCGATTCCCTAAGCTTCCCGAACTGATGATGATAATGATGTCACAGAGGAAAATGGTGATTGAAAGTTAGGTCTCTCTCCCTTTAATAAAAGACCTAACTGATCTATTCTTTCTGGTAAGAATCAGGTCTGGTCGCAAGTCTGGACTCATCTCAACACCTCATGCTGACTTGTTGGTATAACAAGTCTTGTGCTGTTGTATCTTAAAAATTCTGAGCAGTCTGTGTTCAAATTCCAGATCCAAGGCTGTGGATGCTTTCCTAACCCAAAGATCTCTTGGTGACCTGCCCTCACTGTGAGTCTTTCCTTGCAGGCTGTCTCAGGGTTGTGTTAGCAGAGGGGAGCTTTCCTCCCGAAGCCTATCAGTGCCCGTGGCTCTCTGTATTTCATGTTCCCATCCTGAAATTCCACTGGAGGGTATATTATCCTCCACAGATTCAGAAGTAACAGATACCCAGCTACTTCTATTGCTTTCCATAGCTTCAAAATCCTTTCGGACACCTCCTTCCTCCCACCTTTCATCCCCCGCTCCCTTCTTTGCTCTGTCAGTGTGTTTCCTTGGCTCTGGAGTCTTGCTAAGCTTCCCTCCAGCCCTCCTCACAACTTCCCTCTGGTATGGTCCCTGCCCCTGCCCCCAATGAAGCCTTACCAAGATGACAGGCAGCACAAGATCCTTGGGAACCTCAGGAGGTGAGTGAATACCAGTGATCTGCTCCTCAGCCCTTTTATTCTGAATCTAAGCTCTGCCCCAAGAGTGAGACAGTGGTTGGTCATGGTAGCCCTGCCTCCTGACACCCACATGGTCTTGTGACTGGCAATGACCAAATGTTTCTCACCAACCTTCCTCCTTGGGTTCGTGGATGCTGCATTCAGCTTCGATTATGACTTAAGCATGAAGTTAAGAAGTAGATTCTTGTCATTCTTAATCTCACACCCCACAGGACCCCTGCCAGTGTCTTCATCTGTTTTCCATCCCTGTACATTGTCACTCTGTGTAGATATGTCTCACAGTGCAGAGACCTAAACAGCCCAAATCCTTGTCGCTGTCCCCAGATCAGCACAATTATACCAAAATGGCATTTTGAAAACTATTTATCACGTCTTATTTTCCCTCTTTAATTATAACATTGGAACACCAATGAGAATTATTTGTAAAAGGGCTGTGAAAGCCATGGAGTATCAGCAGAAATGAAGAACATGAAAGACAAGAAAAACTGACTGATGGGAAGATTTGTACATGGTAGCTCTCTGACAAATGACCTGTATAGGAAGAAGACATAGATATTTAAAATAATAATTTAAGAGTGGTAGACATGATTGACCTATGTCAATCCCTTATTAAGAGTTCACAGTGAAGCCCACTATTTTGTATAGTTAATGCCTACAGAGAATACAAAGAAATAAAGTATAGTTCCTTCCAAAGTCAGTGAATCTACCAGTTGGTTTTCTTTTTTTAATCTGCTTTGAAACAGCTTCTCTGTTGTTTTCTGCTGATGAGAACTCACCTGGAGAAATGACTGTTGGAAGAAGCATTTGTCTTCATGTCCTTGTGGGACCTTGGATTTCTGGAGGCTGTGACTGATGAAGATGATGACCAGAGATGAGAACTGAAGACAGGAAAGAGGACTTGAGCTGTTAACATCTGCTTCTCCATGTTGACGACATAGGTAATGGGGCTTTACCTTAGGCAACGGGGTGATTTTTAAGATCACGCATCCTATATGTGTCCCAGGAATGGGCTTGTGCTGTTATTTTCAAAGCTCTTCTCCTTTCAGTATTTCCTTAGTCCCTCATAGCCACAGACTTTATACAAAGTAGTGTTTTGAATTTGTGTGTGTTTGCTTCTTTAATGAAAAGTGTTGAAATTCATTGTGAGCCCAAGTTCTTGCAAGATGGACACAACTGGGAAGGTTCAATTTGAAGAAAAAAAAAACTAACTCAATAAGATATCTACAAATCAAAGTCAAATTGAATCATGTAAGGGGAAATTTTTCTCCCTAGTGATTGATGGACCATTCACTGAGAAGACCCCCCTCAGATTGGCATAATGAGCTATCAAATTTTTTTTTAAAAAGTAACAAAAGACATGTACTTAAGTATAAATAGATGCAGAGATACATATTTAGAAAGATACATTTTTATCAAAATTCATGTTGTCTTTTGATCATCTATCACCGAAGCTACCTGTCTGTTTGTCTGTCTATCTATCTATCTATCTATCTATCTATCTATCTATCTATCATCTGTCTATCTATCTATCTATCTATCATCTATCTATCTATCTAGCTATCATCTATCTATCTATCTATCTATCTATCTATCTATCTATCTATCATCTATCTGTCTATCTATCTATGTATCTATCATCTATCTATCTATCTATCTATCATCTATCTGTCTATCTATCTATCACCTATTTGTCTATCTATCTGTCTATCATCTATCTGTCTATCTATCTATCTGTCTGTCTGTCTGTCTATCTATCTATCACCTATTTGTCTATCTATCTGTCTATCATCTATCTATCTGTCTGTCTGTCTATCTATCTATCATCTATCTATCTATCTATCTATCTATCTATCTATCTATCATCTATCTGTCTATCTATCTGTCTGTCTATCATCTATCTATCTATCTATCTATCATCTATCTGTCTGTCTATTATCTATCTATCTATCTATCTATCTATCTATCTATCTATCTTCTTTTACCTATCTCACTTTTTCTCTGAGGTTCCACCATTTGCATGTGCCCTGATATTCAGCACCCTCCGAAAATTGCTGTTTCCAATGCCAGGAATATCCGAGGATAATTATGAATGTGAACCAACATGAATCCGTGAGCAACTAAAACATTATTGTGGTTTTGCTGATTATTTTCTTGACTTCGTGGTTCTTGATCATGATCTTTGTAGATGACAGCATTGTACTATAATATGAAAAGCTTAAGCCGACTTTCAACCATGTGGTCACTCCTTGATTCATTTTTAGCCCCACACTCAAACAGTTGACACTTGGTTTTTCTGAAGTCTTTCCAAGGACTGTGCCCTGCTCTGCTGGTTGGGTTTTTGTCAGCTGACACAGGCCTGAGTCACTTGAGAAGAGGGAACCTCCACAGAGACTATGTATCTCCTAGGACTGGCCTTAGGAAAGCCTGGGGGCTTTCCTTAATTGATGATTAGTGTGGACACACACAGCTCACTTAGGCTGGACCATCCCTGGCCAAGTGACCTTGGGGTATATAAAAAAGTAAACTGGGTAAGCCAGGGGCAGGGAGCCAGTAAGCAGCATTTCTCCATGGTTTCTGCCTCAGTTCCTGCCTTCTTGCCTTGGCTTCCTCAAATGGACTGTGATCCGAATATGTAAGCAAACAGGCTCCTTTCCTCCCCAAATTGATTTTGGTCAGTGTTTTATCACAACAATAGAAAGTAGATTAAAAAAACTGCCTAGGGGAAAAATATAAAATCCAGTGTGAGTCATGGCTTCTGTCTAATCTCTGTTTACTTACTTAGTATTTTCTATCTGTCTTTCAGTTGTTCAGGCATGAACCACATTATTTTCTGAAGTTCAAACAAATATGCTTTTCACTGTAACACAATGTTGTCACCTTTGCTCATCTTGGAAGTACTACTCACGCACTTTTGTGTTTTGATATGGGTCATGTGCTGTGCCATGCACATGAGATAATAATGAACTCTTTTGCAACCTGACCAAAGTTTTATACTTTCATTTTTTCCACTATTTAAGACAGGATGTTTGTTTCTGGAGATTTAGCTCACTAGTTAAGAGCACTTTCTGTTCTTGCAAAGAACCTAAATATGGTTCTCAGCATCCACATTGAATGGCTCTTAACATTCTATAACTTCAGGAAGTCAACACTCTCTTCTGATATCTATGATTTTATTCTAAAAATCCCTGCAGCAGGGAGGAGAGCCACCCAAGCAGGCGGCGAACTCACAGTGGGTGCCCAGCGGGTCTGGAACAGCTAGCGGCAGGAAATGCTAGCCAGCAGGGGTGGATGGACAGGAGTCAGAGACATGGACAGACAGAACATGTTCATGTTAAATATTTATTTAGGGGGTTATGGAGGGGAAAAGGAGAAGGGAGGGGAGAAAGAGGGATAGAGAGAGAGATAGAAAGAAGGGGAAGAGAAAGGAGAGAGAGAGACAGAGACAGAGAGAGACAGAGACATGCCAGAGGGGACAATAAGAGAGTTTCAAGATGGCGGGGGCTGGGGTTGGGGTGGGGGTGGGGGTCACTGGGAGTGGGTGTGGCTTGTCCCTTAAAGGGACCAGAAGAATAACACATGGTACCAGGCATGAGTATAGAACAGATAAATACATACAGGCACTCACGCACATACACATAAAAAAGTGTAAAAACTAGAATGATATTCACATTGGTTATTTTAAATCCTTTAAACTATGCTATGAACATTATTATTGATGTTTCAAGTTATAAATAACAACTTCTTCTGGCTCAGGTCACTGCATAGCAATGCCCATCCTCAGACCAGCAGAGTAAAATATGTGATGTCACATCACATGACCATCTGCCACTGTCTCTCCAGCTCTGACGTTTGTTCTCCAGGTAAGGCTGCTCCAAAGGGCTTAGTAACAGGGAGAGGTTGGGAATTGCTTCCTGGTTTCCACACCAGCAGGACTGCAAATCCAAATTCCAGCTCCTAGGATGACAAGGCTGAAATGCCAACTCGGCCACACCTCTGCCTCTCTGCATGGACACACCCAGTCCTTAGCTGTCCTGTGTGAGCCCAGTGATGTGTGAGTGGCACCCCTACTTTAGAAAGATTGGAATTTGAGGCTTGACTGTGGATGCTGTAGCTTAGGTATCAGGTCAATGTGAACATCTTGAGAGGAAACCACTGTTTACTAGTCTTTCATTTGTCTCTATTTCTCCATCCCATGGAGTATCAGGAATGCTGGTGTGCTTTCACCAGAAGCGATTCAATCTGAAAAATGGTTTTTCTGAGTTTCAGAAACACCACCAAAAAATAACTTTTCTTTTGTTTCCCTCTTTTAAGCTATAAACAATTAAAACAACGAAGCAGTTATTTTTGAGTATAAGAGAAAATTGAGTTACTATTCACATAACAGCATTAAAAGTTAAATTATTTGTTTGCTGCCATAGCCAAAATTTTCATATTTTGTAGGCACGTGTGATGAAATCATGCTAAAATCTTACCACTTTTTTTTGTACAGTTATGTTTCTAGACTAATGGGTAAAATGTCACATAAATCTCAACAATTTATGCAGTTTTAATTCTGAAACTCAATAAAACACACTCTTTTTGAGATGCTTCATTTAAAGTATTTTTCATTATTAAAATTTACTTTTTCAGTTTCATAAATGTATACAAGGCATTGTGATACCAGGTATTTTATCATCTGCCAAACTGAATTAATACACTCCTTCATCAATATGTTCCCACAGGCCCTCTCCCAGGCCTCTAGCAATCAGCATTCCCTTTCTTGCCCACAGGAATCCAACAGAAGAATGGTATAGTGTTTGTCTTTTTCAAACACGTATTTTAATTTGTATTCTCCCTTTACATTTCATTCATACTGTAACATGCACATATATTGTAGGGTCTACTCCTCCTCTCCGGGTTCATCTTGAGGACAGTTTCTGGCCAGACATCTTGTTGCATTTTCAGGCAAACCATTCTGTTTGTTCCTGTGCTCCCTCTGCCCCCCCACCCTGCTGATTAGCTGTAGGGCATTGTTTACTCCATCTTGGGTATGGTAATTTCCCACCTGCCTGGGGGGGTAGGACATTGTGCAGCAGCTAGGTATATAAGGTTTTTCCTAAGCTTGAATAAATGGCATTCTGCTTATCTCCTCTCAAATGACCCAGGTCTCTTGTGTGTTCTTTCAATCTCCAGGCCCTTGCCTGGCTCACAGTTGGGTACAGTGGTGCATGAACTCTACCCAGAGTAACACAGGCATTACAATATATTTCTGTAATTTCTTTTTGAGAAAAGTTTTTGCTCATGTAGGCAAGGCTGGTCAGGAAACAGCTATGCAGTCAGGGTGTCCTTGAACTTGTAATCCTCCTGATTGTGATTATAGGCGTGAGCCTATACCTATACCTGCCATTCAGAAGGTTAGATCATATTCTTTGGCATACTTGAACCATATTTTAAATACAATCATTAATCAATATACAGTTGAATGCCCTTCATCTTTTGGCTATTGTAGACAGGGCTTCTGTGAACACTGTGTAGAAAAAGCTCTGTAAGTCTCTGTTCTCAATGCATATGTTCTACACATGTACCCAGAGATCCATACACAAATACACACGTACAAAAACAGACAGTACAGAGGAGGTGTGAACTTGTTGGTTCGTAGTTAATTCTGTTAAATTTTTGAGGAAAGGAGAATTCAAACTCATAGGCATTTTGAACAATCCACAGAGTTACCAGTTCCCCCACACAGTCCATAGGAGCTGTCAGGCTATGTTGTGTTCTCTCTGATCACACTCAGTTCAGACGCTATATCTCATTACGGGTTTTTCTTGCCTAATAGTCATACTGAACAGTTTTACCTGTGTCTATGGATCATTTTGTATCTTCTTTTTTTGGACAAATGTATATATGTTTATGATTTTAAAAAATGTTTGGGTGTCCCAGGCGGCAGCTGGTGGCGGCCAGTGGGCAGACAGCTAGCCGCGGGTCCGGGAGTCCAGGTGGATCCCCAGTGGGGCGGGCAGGTGCCGGGCCCTGGCTCCGTAGTTTGGTGCCGAACGGTGAGCGGGGCTCCTGGATAGGGACATGTGACAGACACATAGTATGAATCAGAACTGAATCTTTATTGCTTAGAGGAAAGAGAGAGAAAGAGAGAGACAGAGAGACATGTGCTCGCACACCAAGAGGGGACAGAGAGAGAGAGAGAGAGAGAGAGAGAGAGAGAGAGAGAGAGAGAGAGAGAGAGAGAGAGAAAGAGAGAGAGAGGGCGGGGCAGGGGGCAGAGATCACTGGGAATGGGCGTGGCTTGTCCCTTAAAGGGACCAGAGACCAAAAGAATAACATTCCCACCTCTTCCTTACAATAAAAATCAGGAGATTAGACGCCACAGTTTGAAGGAATTGGGGCGGCGAATTCTCAAAACTGCTTCCAGCTGATTGTGGGCATCATCTTTGGGGTGGGGAGGACCTGGGAAGGCTGAATAACAATATGAGTCTCCTCTAAGTTTTAAATTGGGTTGTTTGCTTATATGTTGATGAGTTGAGAGAGTTTATTACACATTCTGATATGACTGGCATATGGCAAAGACTATCATTCTGCTGCGTGGGTTATGTCCAGTCGCGCACAGAAAATTTTAGCATTAATTAATGCACTTCATGAAACCTGTTTTCATTGTGTCACCATAGTATCATTTCACAGAAGTTGCCGAAAGTTCCAACATTTCAAGTTTTCCCAATATGTGATCTTCTATGAATATTTTGTGTTTATTCTCATATTTAAGTCCCTTTATTGTTGTGTAATGGGCACTTGGCTTATCTAACTTTCCACGACAGCGAGGAGCTGATTTTGACCAGTTATACTTCACGTGAAGAGGTAGAATACCACCACAGTTACTTGCAGAACACAGAAGACAGGGGATGATACCAGAGAAAACACACAGGTAGCCAAAACAGGAAAGTAATCTGGATTGAACATGACTGCTGGATGGGGGCCACACAATCACAGTGAAGGATGATAGACCCTTTACAACCTCTATTCTGTGGAGTGGCCCGTATTACTGATTATGTCACACTACAGATACAAGCCAGTTGAAGGTACCACTGAGCCCGGTTGTTGAAACTAACGTGTGAGGGTAATTCTGGCCAAGATAAACAAGAGTTTCAGAAGACTCAATACGGAAAGCTTTATTATCACAAAATACTGAAGAAGACATTAGATCATTGGTGCAGATTCTGAACTTGATACAGATTTTCAGCCAAGGATCCGGGAACTAGAAGGAGAGGAGAGGAGGAATTGTGGACTGGTCTTCTGAACACGGCTTCCTCCTGCACTGCCCGTTTGTGATCTTCATGGTATAGGTCAGCAGCAGCCCCCAGACTGCTGGCTACTGCCACAGCTGCTGCCCCCGCTGCTGCCACAGCAGCCACTGCTGCCACCACTGCCGCCACAGCAGCCACCGCTGCCACCGCTGCTACAGCATCCAGAGCTCTGGTGTCTGTGACGGAAAGATCTGCGGGGCCTGTGGTGGCTCAGGCAGCAGCCACCACCGCCAGAGCTACAGCAGCCTCCAGAGCTTGAACCACAGCAGCCCCCAGAACTGGAACCACAGCAGCCCCCAGAACCCAGACTGCAGCAGGAAGAGACAGGAGGACACTTAGGGGGACACTTAGGAGGACACTTAGGGGGACACTTTGGGGTCTGGCACTTGGGAGGGCATTTGGGGGCACACTTAGGAGGGGGCTGGCACTGCTGCTGGCTCTGCTGGCAGGACATCTCGGCTTGTGGGTGTTCAGGAGCTGCAAGAGAATCACACACATGTCAGACACCAGACACTGTGTCCACCTGACCCATCTGACTTCCCCCAGAAATTTCACCTCTAAGCACCCAAACCAACCATTTTTAGTCCTTTCATCTGTAACACACTCACACTGTCACAGTGGGTCATTTTGAATTCGGAGCCTCAGAAACCCATGCTACTGAGATACTAATTGTCACCTGGCATCCAGAAGCACTGGATGAATGTTTAGTGACATTGGAAAATGTCTGCTGGTCTTAGTTCTCACACATATGCCAGTATTTGGATTACTTCAGGGAGAAGTAGTTGTGAAAGGAAAGAGCAGTCATTACTCGAAGGTGATTTTAGTTTAAGGTCGATATTTCAAAGCACCTTCTATGTCACTAAAGGAGTAAGCTCAGACCCTGAGTGGAAAATACCTAAACCATTCCTGGATGCCTTGGGATTACTAGCCCCTGTTATGAGGCAAGCTCAGAAGTATCCAAATCAACACCTTCTCAGGCTAAGGGTGACAAGATTGATGTCATCCTGGTGGTGTCCTATTTATCAGAGAAGTGTGGGAACGGATTCCAGAACCTGGGCTCTCTTTCTTTCCCAAGTACAAGTGAGACCCTGTTGCCTGATTTTGACTCAGATTCTTCTTTGGGAGTTAGGGGAAGCATTTTTTTCACAGGCTATCTCTGCCCTGAGCCTGTTCAGATGCACAGTTCTCTCTGTGCTCAGCATCGCATTCTGAGGGTTCCAATACACCCAAGGTACTTTGTTCTCTCTAAGGCCAGATGGCCCTAAGCATTCCAGTGTCTCTCAAAACCAAGCCTGTGGCTTGTGTGTGTGTGTGTGTGTGTGTGTGTGTGTCGCCTTTGTCTCACCCCTCACTGTTCACCATATTTTATAATCTGTCAACATGGCCTCTGCCTGAAGGACCCTTTCCCTGTCCCCTGTGAAACTTGTCTGGCAACCCCTCTGGAAAAGTCTCTACCTGTTGCCTCCCATGGACACTTACCAAGATGACAGGCAGCTCACGATCTGTGGGGATCTCAGGAGGTGAGTGGATAGAAGTGCCTTGTCCCTCAGCCCTTTTATTCTGGTCTTGGGCTCAGTCTGCATGGGAGTCCCTGCCTCCTGAAAGCCACATGGTCAGGTGACTGATGGTGATCAAACATTCCTTACTCCCTTCCTCCATGGGGCCAGTCATGCTGCATCTGTCTTAGACCATGGCTTAGGCATGAAGGGAGGAAGTGGATTCCTGGATCCTTCAACCTGGCTCACCTGCAGAGCGGTTGACTTAGGAACCAGTCATTTCTCCATCTTCTTTCTTTTCTGTCCCTTCTTAATGTGATACGTGCAGCACAAAGCTCATATCAAGGCAGCAAAACTTTGAAATTTCTTCAACATCTGCTTCCATGTCTGCACTTTCCAACTGTGCCTGTGTAAGCCCAGCCTAAACATCTACACCAGTCAAGTCCTACATTCCAGATCCAGAACAGCACCAAGATGTTCTAAGGTGTGGTTCAGGATTCTGTTTAGGCTGTGTCATCTCCCTTTTTAACTGTGACAGTGCAATATTAAGGAGAATATAAAACGGTTATGAAAAGAAATGAAAGATCAAATGATCATGTAGACTGTTCACCAAAGACACACATGGAAACTGCCAAACACAGGGAGAGGATACCGCTGTTTAATCATAGCCATTGAGAGATGCTCATCTGTGAGGAGCGTACACTGCTCTGTGGAGGATCTGAGTTTAGTTCCTAGTACCTGTGTTGGGCATCTCACAAACACCTCTAACTCCAGCTTCAGCGCATCTAACACCCAGTTCTTACCTCCAAAGATACATTCAGTTTTGTACATATAACCCCACCGATGGACACACAATCAGACATACACACACACTTGAAAAAAATATAATTTTAAAAATAGCAACTGAAAGAAGATAAATAGGTTCAAGAAACAATACATATGAAAATGTCTTAAGAAACCCAATATTTGGCAAAACTCATATGCATTAATAAGAATACAGCAGCGATTGTGTCCAGAGAGAAAGAACACCATTATTTTATCGGCTTCTTCACACTTGTCTCAGTAAATATCTTCATATTAGATATTTCATAAATTTACATGTGATCATCTTTTAGGAATATACTACCCTGTTTTTACACTTTCAATATGGATGGATCCTCTGTAGAAGCCAACACAACTCTTTCATAAAATCTTTGGCTATTATTGGTGAGGTCAGATGACACATTACTAAGAAGAAAATAAGATAAGGATTCATGTGAGATTGAGGGAATCATGTTGTTCACCTATAAGAAACAGAGAAATAGAATCAGTCTTCGCCCACCTGTGAGACAAAGGGCTGGTGGGCTGTATCCCTGACTGAAGCAAGGCAGGTTGTTTTAAAAAGAATCACACATTAGAAGTTCACAAGAATGTATTTCTGTGGTCATTAGACCTCTGTTCTCTCTGCATGCCTGATTTATATTTATATTCTACATCACCATAGGCTATACATGAATTATTATTTTGAACTATTTTTTGAATATTTACTATAAATAGTTGTGATTCAAAATTAAAGGATATGGTTATAAAGAGTCATGATGTAAGATTTTCCTAAACCTAAGAATTGTAAGCTAGAAGAGGGAAAGAAATGTACAAACTTGGCAAAAATCTGTTCTCCTTAAATGCTGGTGGACTCTGGAATTTCCAAGCCTTTGGAATAATATGAGCTTGGACACAGGAGCATAGTGAGAACCAAGGAAATATGGTAGAGAAACATGGGTGATTATAAATGTATAGAAGAGTCTTCATATAGAGAGATGTATACTTTCCTGTATTCTGTCATTTATTATCATCAGTCTCTGTCACCAAGTTTTTTTTAAAAAAATACATCTAATATTTACACATACCCAAACTTCTAATTCTAATTTGTCCCCTGAAGCCCCTTGATCTTTCATTGACTGTGTTGCTGCATCAGATGCATAGAAGAGACTAACCCTCCCAACAGTAACTGCCATAAAGCCAGTAGCAGAGACTTGTTCAGGACTGTACACCACTAAAAAGATATAGAAACTCTTTCTCTACCCTCTTTACTGCTACTTTATCTGAACATGTCCCATCTATCCTCAGATTGATTCTTAGATGAGTGTTGGTCATGATTTTTTCTAAATTGTATGTTACAAACTTTAGCTGCAATGATAATGAAGCTTAGGTCTGTATTTTTAATTTTCTTTTAGTGACTTTGAATGTAGTTATAGTGAATTCCTTAACAACCTTTCTTAGGGCTTGTGTATCTCTTATCTTCAGTAGCTGAACACATTTGTCCTGTAGCTACTCAGTGATGTCTAATACTCTCACTGGCATCTTCATTGGTGTGTAAGCTTAGAAAAAGATACTCCAAACTAAGGGCCTGGCTCACTCTAATGGAACCTGATCTCTGAGGCAGAGTGAGGGATGTGTGTCACATGACTATGGGAAATCTTTCACTGTCTCACTGGTTTGATTATATTCTCTTCCTCAGTCATTTCAAAGGTCGTAGTAACTGGGAGAGTCAGAAGATGATCCCTTATTTCCATATGGTAGTGCCACGTGACTCACCTTAGTGTTCTAGGTTGATGTGGCTGATATGCCAGCTACTCCACACTTCAGCTTCTGTGTAGGACAACACCCAAGTCCTCAGCTGACCTCCAGAACACAGGTGTGTATGAGGATTATGTCATCTGGAAGAAGACTAGAATCAAGCCTTCAGTGTGAGCTCTGGAGGCTTAGACCTTGAGAAAATATGAGTATTTTCGCACAAAAATCTGTTGACATTCTGAAGGTTTCAGTTGTCAGATATTTCTCTTTTATAAGGCCATTTCCATATCCCTAATGAAAACTCTAATCAGAAATAGTTCAATAAAAATGTTCATTACTCTGCATACCAGAAGCCAAATCAAGAAATTCAATGTTGTTTTGAGATGTTTGTTCTTGTCTACCTGCTTAACAATAACAAATCATACATCAATGGTCTGAAAGTATAAAAGCTACAAATCAATTAGCTTTAATTAACATCTTTCTAAATATTACTATTTGGTTGTTGCTAGTGGTATAATTTTAATATATTGATGACATGTAATAAAACTTCAAAACTCTTATTATTTCAAACTGATTTATTAAAAGGCCTTCAAAAACCATAAAATATATTACACCAATGATAATGCTTATCTCATCTCTCTCTCCACATATGTGTATGTGCTTGTGTGTATACATGTATGTGTTTATGTGTAATCTAGGGGCCAACTTTGAGTGGTTCAGTTCAATATTCTACTTTCATCAATAGATAGGTCAGAAAAACTAACCAATGAAGCTACAAAGTAAAACTCACCCTAGGTTAAGTTGATTCATACACATGAACAAAACATCACAATCACTAGATGCACATACTGGGGGAACCAGCATAGAAGCAAACTAGGCCCACTGAATGTGGGGGACAATTGTGAGGCTTGGGCAGTCTGTGAGGCCACTGGCTGTCGGACCAGGCTGTATTCCTACTCCTTGAACTGGTGTCTAGGAGCACATTCTCTTTGGAGGGATACCTTGCTCAGCCTAGATATAGTGGGGAGGGCATTTTGTCTTGTCTTAAAGTGCCAGACTTTGTTGACACCACATGGGAAGCCTTAGCCTTGCTGAGGTCTGAGATGGGGTATAGGGTGGGGGAAGGAGGTAGGAAAAGAGGGAGTGGAAATGGGAATAGCTATGTAAATTGAGAACAAATTATATTTTAAAAATTCTTAATAAAAACAAGGGAAAAAAAACATCAATTCAGTTTTCTCTGAGGGTATGGCTACCCCTAGGCTGTTTTCCCCCAGAGGATGTCTCCACACTCAGGAGACACTCAGTCCATGGGCAGTACAGTCTTTCTGGGCTATATAAAACAAAACCAAGAGAAAAACGAGTGGACATGATCAAATTACAGGACACCATAAGAAAATTAATGAATTAATAAATTTTGGGGGATCAGCCTCAACAAAAATACCTCTTGCCAGGGTGAGGGCATGGGGATTAGTAATACAGTAAAGAATATGAAGATGTGAATGAAAATAATAAAACACAATAACATATAGCATAGTATTGGGAGGGAATTTTCAGCAAGTACTGAAAAATTCACCCACGGTTAATTTCCAATTGTTTAAAACACCCTTGACCCCAAAAGGTAGGAGTAAGACAAAAGACTGTATTAACATGATACAAGGAAATGAACATACTAATGGAAAGTCATGGGCTAAATTCAGAGTTAAACATTCCCTTGCTAGAAAAAAAACAAGTCAACAAATCACTCTTACTCCCTAGACCAAAACACTCTGTAGGCAAACCAATCCCTAGGTGGAACCCCAAGTTATCTCCATAAAGGGAACTGGAACTTAGTTGGATCCTTGGACTTTTGTTTGAAAGTAGGAACCAATCACTTCCTTATCCCAGGAGCACAAGGTCTGGCAATTAGCCACAACTGTTGACAATAACCTAGAAAGAGCAGAACTCTCTGATTTACAACTAGGTACAATAACCTTGAAGGAACTAGAGATGAGTCCCAACTCTCTGACCTTTGGTCAACTTGGAAAAAGGCTTTTTGGGTCTCCACAATAAATATTGCATTAAAACATTGAAAATGGAGCACATTAAATGAAAAGTTTACCTTTATGGTTGGTATGATTTCATGGAAGCTAGGATTTTTGAACAATTACTAATCATTAAGTGCAACAGACTATACAGATAGACTTAAGGATGGTCATGTGACAATCATCTCCATTGGTGCCAAAATGGCACACAGAGAACTCAAATATCATTCATGATCAACTACTGAAGAAATTTGGAATAGAAAAGATATATCAAATATTGCCTAAATGAAATTAACATATATGCCTTTATAGTTTGTACTAAGATAATGGTGTCCACAGTCTCCACTCTTAAAATCTTAACTAGAATTTTGGGAGACAAAGACATAAAAGGGATGCGAGCACAAAAGGCAGAAGACGAATTGTCTCTGTTTGCAGGCAATAGTATCCCAACATAAAACGCCCTAAAATTCTACTGGAAAAGCATGTCTTCCATACAATGCTGAGCAAAGTAGCAGGCTGATCTGGGATTCCCCTCTGTAAGCTGTGAATATGCTTTATTGACACTGGTTAATAAAGAAGCTGCTTTGGGCCTTGGCAGCACAGAATATAGCAAGGTGGAAATTCCAAGGAGAGACAGGAGAAAAGAAGGTGAAGTCAGGGAGATGCCATGTAGCTGCCAAAAGAAAAAGACCCAAGCCACCAGACAGAACCTTACTGCCTTGGGTGATTTGCAGATTAATAGAAATAGGTTAATTCAAGATGAAAGAGCTAGCTAATAAGAAGCCAGAGCTAAAAGGTCAAGCAGTGATTTAATTAATACCATTTCTGTGTAATTATTTCAGGTCTGTGCATCTGAGAACAAACATGCAGCTTCCACCTACAGCAGGCTACAAAATCAATCATTATTTCAAGTTCAGTAGCATTTCCATAAGCCAAGATTGAAATGCCTAACAGAAAAACCAGGAAAGGACATATTCATGACATCATAAAAAGAAGAAAAAACACCTTGGAATAATCAGCAGCAAGGAGGATTTTACTCTTTTGAGTTCCACAATGAAAATTTCATAAAACTAAAGAAAGAAATTTGAGAAAAACAATTAAAGTTTGGAAGAAACCCCATTTTTACATATAGGTAGATTTAAGAATATGAAAATAATTATATTACAGAAGGCAATCTAAAATTTCATTCAACCCTTATCAAATACAATATAATAGGCATTTTTATGGAAGTAGATAATGCAATCATAAAACTTACATGGTATTTAAAAGAGCTCACACCAGCAAAGAAATCAAACACAGAAAGGACAATGTAGAAAGCATCGAAACACCTACTTTGAAAATATATTTCAGAAAAAAAATTATTGTATCCAGTAACAAAAAAAAAAACCCTGCTGCATGCTGCCAGAAAACAGATGTATGCACTACTAATGTAGACTTTAGAACCCACAGATAAACCTACACAGTTACAGACATGCTATCTTTGTGGAAACTGTCAGTAACACATATTGAAGAACAGATTACTTAAATGGTGCTGATAAAGCCAGATCTCCTCATACACAAGAATAAACTGAATCTATTACTCTTACCCTGCAAAAAATCAACTCAAAGGAGTCAATGTCCTGAAGTTAATACTGACAGCAACTCAAGACAATCAAGGAGAAAAGAATTTAGCATATTTGAAGCAGCAAGGATTTTTCTAAAATGCTCTTCATCCCTAGGAAAGAGAATGGTGAAGATATACATGAACCTGCATGGATACTCAGGAAAGGTAAGAATCAGTAAGGAGACAGCTCCTAAGATGAGAGAAAAATGGGCAGAACTATATATTTGTTGAAAAATTAATGCCTAGAAGAAAAAGAGAAGTAAAAAGTTACCATAAAAACCATGCAGTTAATAAAAGGAAAAATGAAACGAACACCCAGTACTTGGAAGAGAAATGACCAACAATCCATGGGACCATTCTTTGTTTTTAGCCACCAGAGTCACGGAGAGGACACAGACTCTGAGACTCCAGCTCACAGCAGTCATTGTGGCCACCATCAAGAAAACCTGTGACCAACCGTGCTGGGGAGGATGTTGGAGAAGAGGAGCCTCAAAACTAAAACTAGAATTGCTTTGGGATCTAGCTACAATTCCAGGTACCCACCCAACCAAGTCTCAATGTTAGTGTCCCACAGAGGCCCCTACAGGCTGACATGTGTTCTGCATCATTGATAACAGCCACCATATAGAGCTAAACTAGATGACCATCAGTGTGAACAAAGAAAATGTGATAGCATGGTCAATGGAGCTGCATTCATTAATAAAAATTAGCTAAGTCCTTTACAGGATAATGGATGGACTCAGCTATTACATTAAGTTAAAATCTCATTCACAGAAACAGGTATTATACATTTTCTATCATATGAGAAATTAGACTAAAATACATGAACATATGCAAAAATGTTTGATATTCATTAAACTTTTCCAAAGTAAAAATTTCTGTCATTTCAGTGGTGGTTTCTAACACGTAAATCTGAACATTATTGAAAATATGCTCACATATTTTCACTTATATCTTATAGTGAGACTATGTTGTTTATAAATTGTTGAATGAGCTTGCAAATAACTCTTAAGAGTATTCAGTGTGTTCATTGCTCTTTGTGTCAAAAATAAATATTTTGTAAAACTATAAATATTTTGCAAAAATAACAGAACACTATATTTAAATTCACTAAATTTGAAATATGAATAACATTGGTAGTTAAATGTTACAGGAACTTTTGAAAAACATCTTTACATACACATGTATACATAAACATGAACTGGAGGGTGCTATGCTGAATGAGGACACTTGGAGGCCTCCGGTACATCGAAATGATGGGGAAAATGACAACAAAACCTATTCCCTACTAAAGATGGGGTCAGAGTTAGAGACCTGAAGAAAACCACATTTCAATGAAATCATTGTCTTAGTGACTTGATTTGAAAACAAATCACAGAAGATGGAGCAGGCACAGTCAAATGTTTCCAAACACTTCACTCTTGAGTGCTGATCTCCTCGATGTCAAGATTTCAACAGCCACCAGCTGAAGGAAAGGAGGGAAACCATTGCGGTGGTGACTTAGGTCTAGGTCAAACTTTTCTTACAAAACAGCAAGAAAAACACAGATGTGAAAAGAAGTCACTGGTTGATGTTCTCCTTGTCTGGTGTGGGATTCTCCTCTGTGTGCTGTGAATAAGATTGGTTAATGAATTAAGAAAGCTGCCTTGGCCTGTTGAGAGGGCAGAACTTAGGTAGGCTGGGAAAACTTAACTGAATGCTGGGAGAAAGAAGGGTGGAGTCAGAGAAAATTCATGTAGCCCCGCTGGACACAGGAGCTGGAACTTTCCTGGTTAGCCACAGCCTCATGGCAAAACACAGATTAATAGAAATGGGTTAAATTAATATGTAAGAGTTAGCCAATAAGAAGCTAGAGCTAATGGGCCAAGCAGTGATTTAATTAATACAGTTTCTGTGTGATTATTTCGGGGATCAGCAGCCAGGAACCAATAAGCAGCCCTCCCCCAACAATTGTCCTCAATTAATCTGATTATTGATCTTTATCCTTGCAGTGACTGCCTAATAGTGAACATTGACCTTTCAATTCCATTGACATGGGTTTTCCCCAGTTTTTATAATTGTGAGGAATGGCTGACATGTCTAAGTCCTCACATCAGGTTACTGTTAAAAGAGGATCTTAGTTCTTATAGATAGAGTAAAACAGCTGGTACAGAGTCCTAGGAAACATACAAGTCTTTTTGTTTTGTTTTGGTTTGGTTTTTGAGACAGGGTTTCTTTATTTAATTTTTTTATTGAGCTCTACAGTTTTCTTTGTTCTCTTTCCCACCTCTTCCCTCTTTTTCAACACTCTCCCAAGGTCCCCATGCTCCCAATTTACTCAGGTGATCTTGTCTTTTTCTACTTTCTGTGTAGATTAGATTCATGTATGTCTCTCTTAGGGTCCTCATTGTTGTCTAGGTTCTCTGGGATTGTGATTTGTGGGCTGGTTTTCTTTGCTTTATGCTTAAAAACCACTTATGAGTGAATACATGTGATAATTGTCTTTCTGTATCTGGATTACCTCACTCAAAATGATGTTTTCTAGCTCTGTCCACTTGTTTGCAAAATTCAAGACATCATTATTTTTTTCTGCTGTGTAGTACTCGATTATTTAAATGTACCACATTTTCCTCATCCGTTCTTTGGTTGAAAGACATTTAGCTGCAGAAATTTAGAAAAGGCACACAATAGTGATGCCATGTTACAAGCCTTAAGGGCAGCTGAAGTCCTTAAGGTCCCTGAAAATGGCTACAGTATTATAATGCTGAACCGCACTTAAGACTGAAATAGTTGTAGCAAAAGGAACTTAATATCGAGACAGGGTTTCTGTGTAGCTTTGGTGCCTATCCTGGAACTAGCTTTTGTAGATGAGGCTGGCCTTGAACTCGTAGAGATCCACCTGCCTCTGCCTCTGCTGGGATTAAAGGAGTATACCACCAATGCCCAGCTCACATATATGTCTTAAAGGAGACAAGAGCTCCTAGTGCCGCTCTCTGTAGGAAAAGATGATGAAGGCATGGGATGAGGATGATGCTGAGAAATGAACAAGAGTCTTGTCAGGACTGGTTGCCAAGGCTTTTTTATTTGTAACAAAGAGGCAACGGGGCACTGTTATCTGATGAGTAAAATGCAGACCCTTTCACAAGAGATGTCAGCATCTCAGAGGGCAGGGCAAGGAGGGAAGCAGGAGGGGAGAGGGCAGCAAGACGGGACCAGTCTGCTGAGCTTGGCTTCCTCCTGCAACACTTGGTGAAGTCTTCCTCAGCTTAGCAACAGCCACCAGACTGCTGGCTACTGCCACAGCTGCTGCCACAGCATCCACTGCTGCCACCACTGCTACAGCATCCAGAGCTCTGGTGTCTGCGACGAAGAGATCTGCGGGGCCTGTGGTGGCTCAGGCAGCAGCCACCACTGCCAGAGCTGCAGCAACCACCGGAACTTGAACCACAACAGCCCCCGGAACTGGAACCACAGCAGCCCCCAGAACCCAGACTGCAGCAGGAAGAGACAGGAGGACACTTAGGGGGACATTTAGGAGGGCACTTTGGGGGACACTTTGGTGTCTGGCACTTGGGAGGGCACTTGGGGGTGCACTTGGGAGGAGGCTGGCACTGCTGTTGGCTCTGCTGGCAGGACATCTCGGCCTGTGAGTGTTCAGGAGCTGCAAGAGAATCACACACATATCAGACACCACACACTATGTGCACTTGAATTATTCTGGCCACCCGAATTTCACCTGTAAGCCCTGAAACAACCATTCATTTATATCACACTCACACTGTCTCAATGTGGTGTCTTGAATTCAGAACAATGAAAGTGAGATGCTAATTGTCACCTGTCATCCATAGTGCTGAATGATTATCTAGTGACACTTAAAATGTCTGCTGGTCTTAGTCCTCATGGATGTGCCAGTATACGGATTATTTAAGAAAGAAATAATTGCAAAAGCAAAGAGTAATCTATACTTGAAAGTGATTTTAGTTTAAAGTCTGTATTTTAAGACCTTCTAGATTACTGATGGGTGAGTAATCCCAGTCTTTGAAAGAAAAATATGCAAGCTCACTCAAATTTGCTATGGGACTGTGAGGCCCTGTTGTGAGTTCAGAGTTCAGAGGTATCCAAATCACCACCTCCACAGGTTAAGGGTGACAAGGTTAGTGTCATCCTGGCGGTGTCCTCTTCATCAGAGAAGTGTGAGAACAGATCCCAGAACCAGGGCTCTGTTTCTTTTCCTCACCAAAGTGAGACTCTGTTGCCCTTTCCTGACTCCAGCTCTTTTCTTCAGAAGTGAGGGGAAGCATTTTCTTCACAGGCCATCTCCCCCTGAGCCTGTTCAGTTGCACAGTTCTCTGTGCTCAGAGTCTTGAACTGAAGGTTCCTATACACTGAAGGATTGTTGTTCTCTCCAGAGCCAGAGGGCTTCAATCATTCCAACGTCCCTCAGAAACCAAGGCTGTGGCTTGTGTGTCCATGTTCCCATTGCCTCACCCCTCACCCTTCACCATGTTTTATGATCTGCCAATATGGTCTCTAGGCTGAGAGACCCTTTCCTGTCCCCCGTCTGGCAACCCCTCTGGAAAAGTCTCTGTTCCTGCCTCCCATGGACACTTACCAAGTTGACAGGCAGCTCAGAATCTGGGTATCTCACGAGGTGAGTGATGGAAGTTCCCTGTTCCTCAGTCCTTTTATTCTGATCCTGGGCTCTGTGTCAGCCTGTCAGAGAGTATGTGGACAGGGGTGGATCTGCCTCGTGACACCACATTGTCATGTGACTGGTGATGACCAGATGATCCTAATAGCCTTCCTCCATGGGGCCAAGGTGTGCTGCATCTATCTTAGGACATAGTTTAGGTATGAAGGGAGGAAGTGGATTCCTGGATCCTTAAATCTCACATACTTGCAGCTACCTAACTTCGGAACCTGTCATTTCTCCATCTTCTTTCTTTTCTGTTTCTTCTTAATGTGAAATGTGTAACATGGAGCCCATAGTGAACGAGCAAAACCTTGATGTTTCTTCTGCATCAGCTTCCATGTCTGCACTTTCCCAACTGTGCCGATGTAAGACCAGTCTAAACATCTACACCACCGAAATCCTGTATGATACATCTGCCATAGCACAATGGTAAATTGAGACTGTGCCATCTCCCATTTTAAATATGGGGTTACAGTATTAAGGAGAATATAGGACTGTTATGAAAACAAATGAAACAAAAGACACACGTGGAAACTGCTAAATATAGGGTGAGGATATAACTCTTTAATCATAGCAGTTGAGGGATGCCTCATTGATGAAGAATACATACTGCTCTTATAGAGGACCTGAGTTTGGTTCCTATCATCTATGCTAGGCAGCTCACAATCTCATATTCTCCCCATCTCTCCAAACCACTCAGTAAGTATTTTCATATCAGATATTTCATGAATTTACATGTAATCCTCATTTAGGAAGATACTACTCTTGTTTTTACTCTTTCAATATTGATGGATACTCTGTAGAAGCCAACACATCTCTTTCATGAATGCTGTGTGCTATTACTTGTGATGTCAGACAGCACATTAGTAAGAAGAAATTCAGGAAAAGGGTTCACATGAGGCTGAGGGAAGATGCTGCTCACCTATAAGAAATAGAGGGAGAGAGACAAGGGCTAGTGGACTGTATCCCTGTCTGAAGGAAGGCAAGTTATTTTTAAAAGAATCACTCATTAGTAGTTCACAAGAATGTGATCCTGTGGTCATCAGACATCCATTCTGTGTGCCTTAGATTTTTATTTATATTCTGCATGACCATAGACAATATATGATCATATTTTTGAATGTTTTTTTCTTTTCTAAGTTTAGAAATATTAGCTAATCATCATAGAATGATATGTCTGTAAAGAGTCATGATTTAAGATTACCCTAAATCTAAATAATGTCAGTTAGATGAGGCAAAGAGAAATAAAAAAAAATAGATTGGCAAAATCTCTTCTCCTTAAATGCTGGTGGACTTTGAAATTTCCAAGCAATGGGAATAGTATGAGCTTGGTATACAGTAGCATGGTGAGCACCAAGAAAATATGGTGGAGAGCACAACCCCCCCTCCCCCAGCTCCTTCTGCTGGGCTGTCTTTCTTTCGCACGACCCAGCACCCCCAGCACCCCTCCCCAACCCTCCCCTGCTGTATGCTAGGACCAGTGCTCAAATACAGTTTTAAACTCCTAAACTAAGGCGACCCACCCTGAGCGGTGAGTGCCTGCCTACCGGGCAGGCCTCTGGGTCCCCTGTAAGGGAGCCGGGCACCTTCAGCTCTGGCGCCAGGCTTCCAGCGCGCTCCTGGATACCACCCCCCCTTGCTCCATTCATCCTGTTGGCCCTGGATCATTGGGCTACCGGCGGCCCTGTTTAGTTGCTGAGGAATCCCATCAGGACGGGTGAGTGTGTGCTATCCAGGGGCGGACTGTCCTAGAAGAGAGCACAACCCCCCCCCCCCAGCTCCTTCTGCAGGGCTGTCTTTCTTTCGCACGACCCAGCACCCCCAGCACCCCTTCCCAACCCTCCCCTGCTGTATGCTAGGACCAGTGCTCAACTACAGTTTCAAGCTCCTAAACTAAGGCGACCCACCCAGAGCGGTGAGTGCCTGCCTACCAGGCAGGCCTCAGGGTCCCCTGTAAGGGAGCCGGGCACCTTCAGCTCTGGTGCCAGGCTTCCTGCGCGCTCCTGGATACCACCACCCCCCTGCTCCATTCATCCTGTTGGCCCTGGATCATTGGGCTACTGGTGGCCCTGTTTAGTTGCTGAGGAATCCCATCAGGACGGGAACGGTTCCTGCTTCTACACTGAAGAGATATACCCAGAGAGTCAATCACAGCAAAGACTGGACCAAGAGACCAGGCCTCTCCTGGCTCCATTTGAAGGAAGAGATGGGAAGGCGCCAATGCAAGAATTCCTCCAACAACCTGAAAGGCAACATGATACCACCAGAACCCAGGGATCCCGAAATAAGAAGAATTGTACACCGTACTCCTGAAGAAATAGAAGAAATCGACTCAAAAGTGAACTATATGAAAATAATAGAGGACCTTAAACAGGAGGTGAAAAACTGCCATAAACAATTAGAGATTACAAACAAAAAGGTAGAGGAAATGAATAAATCGCTCAAAGACACACAAGAAAACCAAGAGAAACAAGAAAAAGCAATCAAACAGGTTAGGGAAGCGGTTCAAGACATGAAGAATGAGATGGAAGCAATGAAGAAAGCACAAACCGAGGGAAGAATGGAGATGGAAAATCTGGGTAAACGAACAGGAACAACAGAGACAAGTACTAACAACAGATTACAAGAGATAGAAGAGAGAATATCAGACACTGAAGATACCATAGAGAAAATAAACACACTGATCAAAGAAAACAGCAAAACCAACAAATTCTCATCACAAAACATTCAGGAAATTTGGGACACAATAAAAAGACCAAACCTAAGAATAATTGGAGTAGAAGAAGGAGAAGGAGTGCAGCTCAACGGTACAGAAAATATACTTAATAAAATTATAGAAGAAAACTTTCCCAACCTGAAGAAAGAGGTACCTATGAAGGTTCAAGAAGCATACAGAACACCAAATAGGCTGGATCAAAAAAAAAAAATCCCCTCGCCATATAATAATCAAAACACAAAATATACAGAATAAAGAAAGAATATTAAGAGCCGCAAAGGAAAAAGGCCAAGTTACTTATAAAGGTAAACCTATCAGACTTACACCTGACTTCTCTATGGAAACCA